TCGCCACACCGCTCCTGTCAATATGATATTTGTCACGGCATAGGCGGTGGTGGTGGTGGAGGAGGAGGAGGAGATGGCAAGGGCAAGGGCAAGGGCAAGGGGAGCACCGGGCTGGTGATGGTTCTCGTCACTCCCGAGAAGGTAATAATATGCCAGTCAGCAGAGCGCGTCGGGCTGTTCGGCCCCGAGGTTGTCGGAAGCGAGCTTTGATTGGTTCACGAGCACATCGTATTTCTTCGTTCCACGTGAACACTCTGCCCCAGTTTGTTGTCGTCTCTCTCGACTACGTTGAGTGGAGATGGGAACATGTCGTGACTCGGTCCGTCTAGGCTTTGTTTGGTCCATTCGTCGGTACTGGCGTTTCGATTCTTTGTTGGTTGGTCTGTCAGGCGGAGGGTCTGTCTAAGTTTGGTTGGTCGACCCGGTCTGTTCGTGCGATGGCGTAGCGGTCTGTTTTGGTCGGTGTGTTTGCTGCGAAATTTGAGGTTGAGTGGTTTCCCCTGTGTCCAACACAGAGAACAATAGCCACAAAACAAAGACAACAATTAGTGTAGGGAACTTCAACTAGTTCAGCCAGCATGCAATAGCTTCAGCACCAACAACCACGGCAACCCTAAGGTAAGAAATACAACGCGGTGTGCATCTTGGCACTTTGCACGAGGAGGGAATGCCCCGGCGTTCAGGGGTCGAGTGCAGAAGCTTAACGTGCTCGGCTTCCCGGCCCCAACTCCCTGAGAGGAGAAGGAGAGCACGCGTGTTTTATCGTCCACCAACGCATCCACCCGTGTGCGGTAACCGATGCACTGCTGTTGTTGTCCAAACGACGACGGCCCCCGTGTCCAACAGGTGGTGAAGTCGAAGATGTTCATGGCAGCGTTGGACAAGACCGCCAAGAACGGCCGGCTGGCCAGGATCGTCATCGACGAGGCGCACTGCTGCTCGCAGGCAAGGGGAGAGATCGCCGATCGATCTCAGCACCTACAACATGGTATCTACAGTAGTTGGCATACGGTTGTGATGGAAACGAACGCGTTTTTGAAACTGACACGCCTACCAATGCACCGCGTGCTTCCTCCCACAGACGGCGGTGCTGTGCAACAGAGACACACCGTGCGTCGTCGCGTAGCCCTTTTCAAGAACCCACACGCTTGATCATGTTGGTGCACCCTCACCCACCTTGTTGCTCTCCCAAGGAGGTTTCGAGCTGGCACCCGCTCTGTTTTCCAAGCGTGCTTTTTCCATCGGCCTTGTCGGCGTAGACGTCCTTCGCTTTCGGGGCAACCGATCATCTCATTACGTGGGATCACGATCATGATGTCAAGTAGGAAATGAAACGCCGTTTCGTGTACCGTTAAAAGTGCGGGCGAACGTAACACGGGTGAGACCGATCGCTTTTTGGAGCTCGATGGGTCCACAACCAGTATTTCTAGGCTGCCAACGCCGAAACAGCGTATTTTCGGAAAGATCCGCAGAGCTTTCCTTGCACGTTGTATCGGTTGGGTTTCGCGCCCTCCGTTTGGTCCACCACCCGTTCCGTGGGTGACTCGTCCCTCGTTCTGGAGCAATCAATCTTAATCTTGCATAGTCGATCGATCGCACACGTGTGAGTTCGCCCGCACTTTTCCGGTAATCGTACAGGCACACGCGTGCTACTTGTTGGGCGTCGGGACTGTCTCTTCTGGCCTCTTGCCTGTTTGCAACCCCCTCCCCCTCCCACCTGCGTTGCCCTTCGTGGTCGCTACCGTTGTAACAACTATTTGCCCATTGTAACAACTATTTGCCCGTCCCGTACGCTATGCTGCTGTTGTGTGCGTGTCTTTTGTGTTGTGGCCATCCTTCGGTCGGCGGCCATCTTCTGCCCGACAATATCGCAAACCAACTGCTGCAATACTATAATACTATAATACTATAATACTGCATTAGTGGGGGCACGACTTCCGGCCGGAGTACTGCAAGCTGGGCATCCTCAAGCGGCAGTTCGCGCACGTGCCTGTGCTCGCCGTGACGGCCACCTGCACCGACTTTATCCGGGACGACGTGAGTTGTCTTGTGTCTGGCTATCTTTTATTTAATTATTTGGTTTTGTTTTTTTCTCGCGTGGGGAGGAATGCCATATCTAGAGACGACTACTGTACTGCGACGATCGAAAGCGGGGTGTAGTAGACACGCGGCGATGGAGGCGGGGGCGGCAGCTAGAAAGGTAGACGGGTGGAACCATGAAGTCTGTCTTGTCGGGGAGTCGTTTGTAGCGGGCAAGGGTTGGTCCAAGGCAGGCATGTTCCGCAAGCGGTTCTGAGTCGACTGTTCTCTGTCTGTTTTTGGTTTCGTTCGGCCTCTTCTGTACGCCGCTGTACGCCGATATCTTCCTATTTGGATGCCCCACAAGTATTTCGCTACGCATGGGAGGCAATACTTCCTAGTACTTGCTATCCTTTCGGTAAGTATCTACCTGCCAATGTTTATTTGATGACGTTTGGCTCGCGATCTGTTGCTGTTGCCTCTTTCTCTCTCTCTCCGTCCGTCCGTGTCTCTTGCCCTTCTATGTCGTTCCCCTTTCGCTGTCGCTGTCGCTGTCGCTCGCTCGTGTTATGTTGTCTGTTGCTCAACCTCACCAGTCTTTGTTTATTTGCAACTGTACCACTCCTTCTCTCTCCCTCCCCTCCCTCCTCTCTCTCTTGCTTTCTTTCTCTTTTCCTGTCTCTCTGTGCCTCCACGTGTATTTGCTCTCTCAATGTACGCAGGGCCGTCCTTGCTCTAGGCGAAACGAGCACCAACTGATGAAAAATTTCTCCATGTCCCCTGTTTGCTGTTTGGTTTTGTCGGATATTTTTCTGCAGGTGCTGAAGATCCTCAATCTTGCTCCGGCGGACGTGGTGTGCTTCAAGAGCAGCTTCAACCGGGCGAACCTGAGGTGTGGGTCGAGAGTGCTTTACATTGTCTCGCGCGTATGAAATAGATGTAGGCTGGCTTTTGCTGCGTCCTGCGAACATCAGCTTTGTCTTGACGAAGAACGAAACTTCGTGTTCGCCCCCCACATGTCACGACGCTTCACTTGTAACATGTGGGTAATACGTCCTTCGGATGGGAAGAGAAAAGAGGAACATTGGCCAGTAGAAAAAAACACTGCGCTTTCGGTTATTAGAATAGTGTGTCTGGCTTGTGCTGGCCGCCCCAGAAATAAAAGTTTGTGGCGTTTGACAATCGGGGTGACGATCGAGGGAGTTTTTCGATGAGCTGAAAAGAAAGATTCACGCCAGGTACGTGTGTCCCCCGCCTCCTTCCGCAATCTACGAACACTTGTTTTTTTTCATAATCGCCCCCGGGTCGGTCGGTCAAACGAAACACTTTTAGATCTAACGCTCCGTGTCCCACCTACAATTATAGGCGAAATAAGGGCACGAAAAAGACGAAAAAAGAAAAATCTAACCCAAACGGCGTTGCAGCGACCCCCCCCCGCCGCGCGCGCGCGCGTCTGCTCCCCGTATCATCCATAGCCCCCCCACACACCTCCTCCCGCGTGCACCCGCCGATGGTACTGATCTCTCCGTTTTTTTTTTTTTGTTTCAGGTACGAGGTGGTGGAGAAGCCGGAGGCCGCTAAGGAGTCCCTGGAGCTGCTGGCGTCGCTGATCAAGGACAGCTACCGGGGGCAGGCGGGCATCGTGTACGCCTTCTCGAGGAAGGAGGCGTCGGACGTGGCGGCCGGTCTGGGGGCTCGGGGAGTTCCGGCGGCGTTCTACCACGCCGGGCAGGAGGTGAGTGCGTGCGTGCGGTTCGTCCCCTGGCGTGTGTGCGCGCGCGATGTCGGGGTGTGTGTGCTTTCGTACGCTGGTGGATGCTATGACGCGTTGTTGCCCTACCTTTCCTGTCTCCCGTCTGGTGTCTGTGTGCTGTGCTGCGGCACGAAGTAATGGTGTGCGGATCATGGGGTTGAGGTGTATGGAGTATGCGGTTAGGTTTGCTACGGATCATGGGCGTGTAGGTGTTGGTGTCCCGAGCACGTGGTACAGAACACGGACCAGGGCGCTCGGTGTCTTAGTCCCTTCCTCGCACGGAGGGGCTTCAACAGACCGCCGCGGAACACACAGCATAAAAAAAGTCGCCCCGACTCCCGGCCTGAATTGGCGTGTCCTTTGAAAGCTTTCAGCATGCATTCCCTACCTTTCAAGTTCCAGGTTTCCTGACGAACCTACTGTATAGGTCAGGTCTGGCGTATGGAAAGCTATGGCGATTTATGGGTACAATCGCTGTTGTCCTTTTTTTTTGTGAGCGGCAGCGGCGGGGCGGGGAGAAGGTTCGATTTCTCTTCGATAGAAGCTCTTGGCCAGGTCTTGGCGCCGCAAACCAAAAGACCCACCGCCTAAATACGTTGTTCGTTCTCCTCCTCCCCCTTCCCTCGCTTTCCCCCGCAACGTCTCGTATCCCGGCGGAACGTGCCGCCATGCCCGTTGTCCTCGCAGGAAAGGGAGCGCAGCCGTGTCCAGCAGGCGTGGATGAGGGGGGATGTGCCGGTCATCGTCGCCACCATCGCGTTCGGTGCGTGCTATGCTACATAGGATGGGGCGCCTGGGTCGCCTGCCTGCCTGCCTGCCTGCCTGCCTGCCTTCCCTTGTGTGTGTGCTCACTCGCTGCTCCTCGACGTCTCTTCAGTTTTGCGCATTGCGTATTTATTTTTTTTACGTACTGGTCTGTGACGAAAAGTGGTCGCCTTTTTCAAGTTGTACACTGCCGATTGTTGTACGTTTTTGGTTCACTGGAAATAGCGCACTGTGACGCTGTCCCCTCCCCCTGCCCTGGCCGCCAACCACGCAGGAAAATAACCCTAATCACGCGATACCTTCCCCCCCTCGCGCGCGCGTATCGCACGAAGAGCCCCCGCGTAAGCATGTGCGGCTCGTGTGATTTTCACACCCTGTATTTTTTTCCGGCGACCACACTGCCGCTGACTACTGCGCTCTCCCCCCCCCCTCCCCTGCCGCAACTACGCGAAAACAGGGATGGGCATCAACCACCTCGAGGTGCGCGGCGGCGTTGGCATCGCTGTACGGCAAAGGTTCTAAGAGTGTGCCCTTTGTGTCGGGTTGGTTAGGGCCTGTTGGATGGCCGTGTGTTTGTCTCTCGTGGCGCTTCTGCTTGATTCGCTGTGCCTAGCTGCTGCCCGCAGCCGTTCAAGGCCACACCAGGCAAGCGTGTTGTGATATCTCTAGCAGCATGTGCAGAGGTCTGGACGCTTCTGGATTTGCTATATTGTGCGAAAGTAAGCGTATTCTACGTATGTATGCGGGTGGAGGTTGCCATCATGCGGCAGTTAGTCATGTCTTTGACGGAAGAATGCTTCGACCTGTTGTAGGAATTCTTCTTTTCGAGAAAAATACATGAGCAAGCCTTCGTGTGCGCGAACCACCCCTCTGCAGGTTGCCAGTCATTTCTGCGAGGGCGGGTGATACCCGCCCCCCCCGGGGGAGTGTCGTCATTTGTAAGCAGTAAGGCTAGGTGCACATGCATGTACCAAAAAGGTTGTTCCCATCTCCCCTGCCCCGCCATCCTCCCTCCCCCCCATTTACCCCCCCCCCCTCCCCCCCGCCATCCTCCGTCCCCCCGCTATCCACCACAGGTTCGATTCGTGGTCCACTTCTCCCTGAGCAAGAGCCTCGAGAACTACTACCAGGAGAGCGGGAGAGCGGGCAGGGACGGCAAGCCTAGCCGCTGCGTGGTGTTTTACCGGCCCTCCGACGTCTCAAGACAGGCGACGCTCTCCTGCCAGGACCAGGGGAGCCAGCCCCTCGCCACGCTGCACAAGATGGTCCGGTACTGCCAGGTTAGGCCTTGTAGTCTAAGCTGTCGCTCCTGGTGGCTTCGATGGTCCGGTACTGCCAGGTTAGGCCTTGTAGTCTGAGCTGTTGCTCCTGGTAGCTTTCGTCTTCTGTTTTTTTTTTTTTTCTGTGTGTGATGGATGCTCCGTTTACTGTGTTTTCATTTTTTTTTGTTAACCCGTTCATTCCTACCCTAGCCATGCACGTGGTATGAGCATAAAAACTCGGGGCGTGTAATTACCGTACTCGTAAGTTTGCTGGTAATACGATACCGTTTGGCACGCTGGTTGGTGTCGTCTGTGCCTCCCGCTCTTTTAGAGGTCGGAGCAAGAGATCCGAAGGTGACGTCATCTGCACACTAGGCTGCTGGGAGGCCCCTATGTTAGACACACCTGGTCAGTTGGTGCAAGACTCTGTTTGATGCACCCCCCGGTGAAGCACACACAGAAAGAGAGGACCGCGCACATAAGGCGCATCCTCTACACATATGCCCCCGAGGCCATGCAGTACGAGGTGTCGCTCAGCGTAGAACAGGCACCCACCACGGTCCACCCGCCGTACCCGCTTTTTCTTGCCTCCTCCCTACGGGATGATATACATACACATCACGGGCTGCGTCCTTTTGTGCCCCGGCGTTTCGCGATCCCCCTCTCCGCCGCGTCGTCAGACGATGGCAACCTGCCGGAGGACCATGATCGCGGAGGCCCTGGGCGAGCGGGGCGGGAAGGGGCTGTGCTCGAGCGGCGGCGGCGGCGGTGGCGGCGGGTGCGACGTGTGCTCGGGGGGCATCGGCGAGGCCGCCGACGTGGCCACTCTCGACGCCACCGCGCACGCCTGCACTCTCGTCAGGTGAAACCACTCGTTGGTAGTCGGTCCCGGGCGCTTTGGGGTGTTGTTTGTGGTGGTGGCGCAGCAGTCGTGATCATGGCTGGCAGCTAGCTGTACGTGGCCATTGGCCTGGATTTTTGGGAGCACGCGGCTGCGTTGTTGCTGTATCGTTACATGCCGTGAACCGAAAAACGCCCTCGCGGGCGACCGTGCCAACAGGCGACATCAGTGCAATCGGTAATGGCTAGCACGCGTATGGATGGGCCGGGTGTAAGAAAACATCCTCTAAGTGGCTTGGTTGACGCTCCCCCCCGCCCTACTCCAATCCCACCCCCGCCTCAAGCATCCTCCAAATACGACCACATGCCGCCGAGCAGGATACTCCGACACCTGGCCTTGAAGGAGCAGCGCGTGACCCCGAGGCAGCTGGTGGACGCGTGGAGGGCAAAGAAGGGTGCGAAGGCAATGCCTGACGAGATCGTCGGGGAGAACGACCGGCCGCCGAAGTCTCTATCTCGGTCCGCGTGCGAGCGGCTCGTGCTGCAGCTCCTGGTACGTCTTGTAGCAGAATATCTGCTATCTTACTGTGTATGTAGCGTCGTCTGTGTGTGTTATTTATTTTATTTTATTTTTGCGCTTCTTAAGTGTGGGATACCGTTTTCTCCCTTGCAGCAGCAGCAACAGTAGTAGTAACGGTTAAGTGTTGAACGCCGTTTTCCTCCTCGCAGCAGCAGCAGCAGTAGCAGTGGCGGCGTGGGATGTGCGTGGTGTGCGGGAAAGGGTGTATATCACCCGTTGCCGAATGAACGAACGTCGTCACCGCCGTTGCAAGTTTTGGGTACCCGACAAAGATTCTTGGGACGAAAATCCCGAGGACAGTGATGCCCGTCGATCGGCATCGTCTCACGGCGTGTAGGTGCTGCCCCCGCCCCCCCTCCCCGCTTGGTTCTCAGGGAGACGGCGTGCTGTCCGACGATTTCCATTTCACGGCGTTCTCCGTCGTCCACTACGTGGTCACGGGGGCACGCGCTCACGCCCTGGAGAGCGGCAGGCTCTCACAGGTTTCCTTTCAGGTACGAGGGAGCGCAGCCGCCGGCGCAGCCGCCGGCGCAGCCGGCGCCGTGAGAAAGACACCCGCCGGTGCTAGCAGCGAAAGGCCTTCCAAGCCGGCGGCGGCACGTCAGAAGAAAGAGCCCGCAGGGGCGGGGGGCGGTCGGGGTCAAGGAAGCAGCGGGAAGAGACGGGCGAGGTCGACGGCTGGCGGCGGCGCAACGGGTGTGGTTGCTGCTGCCGGGGTAGTCGACCTTTGCGACAGCGACGGGGAAGAGGAGGAAGTAGCCGTCCGGGGGGGAGGCGGGAAGCGCTCGTCGGGGTGGGCCGCGGAGGGAGAAAGCGAGGGGGACGAGGAGGAGGAGGAGGAAGAGTGGAGTGGAGATGATGGCGGTGGAGGCGGTGGTCCCGTTCGGACGGTATACTCCTCTGACAACGATAGCGACGACTTTGAGCCGGCCAAGCCTAGGAGACGGAAGAAGGCCAAGACCGTGGCGAAACGTGATGATGGCAATAGTAGTAGTGACAACGCATGAATCTGTGCACGACAGCGGCGTCAGCCAAGGAGTCACTTTGTTGAACCCTGCGACATTGGCATTCCAAGGTTTTGATGGGACCATCGTGGAGATTAGCAGAGCTTGGGTTTCTGGAAAGCGGGGAAAGGCGGACGGCTGCGCGATGTGCGCCAAGTGGAGCGTTGTAGGGGTGGTTGACAAGTGGTTGGTGGCAGGAGGTATCGCACGAAATTGGGTTTAGCTTATCACTCTCTAGTGATTGGATCACTTTGAGGGGCAGAGCGACCGAACGACGTTGAAGAACATGGACGAGGCGATCGCAACGGTTTCTGGAGGAATGAGCAAATTTACATCAGCGGAGTGGTGTACGGAGGAAAATAGTGTTCAGGGTGTAGAAAGCTGCATCGCAGACAAACCGGCGGGCGAATTTTTTTTTTTGTTACACAAGGAACATTCTGCCATCACCGGTGCACAGCCTTTGGATGTGTACAAGTTAAATGCTCTAGCGCTACTCGGTATGGACGTAACATCCAGCGTCCAGATCTCGTTGGATGTTTGCTCGTTCACGCATGACCGTTTCAAAAAAAAAATCCCTATGCTATGCTGCTAACTATTTCCCCAATTGCAAATTGGGGTTTCTGACCCGACTAACAAACAAGCAGATTAATGTGACAGAATCCTAGTCTCACAAGAATTTACTGTAGTACCAGGCCGTTGCCTCTTTGGCGGTGACCGCGCGTAACCATCCCGACACAGGGGCACCAAGTCTTCATACAGCTCGACTCGTCGAGAAATTTAATCTCTGCGGAGGGAGGGAGAGCCGTGGCTCACGGCAATCTATACTCACGCCGGTCTCACCGAGCGGAGGAACGCCGAGACCACCAGCACCACCGGCTGCGAACTACAGACACGCATACACCGCCGCACGTGTTTCTCCTAGTGCACAGCCAACCACAACCTCCTCAATACTCTCGCCGCGCCACACCCAACCAGAAGACCCCCCTCCACATGCGTTGTACAAAACGTGCCGTCCCTCTCTGGTTTCATCGTACCGAAGATCGGCCGCCCACCAGCACCACCACCAGCACCAACGTCACCAGCGTAACCGCGATCACCAGAATCGCGTTGCAACACAAGAAGTTTTCGTATCTGGAGGTGTCCGGCCCCGAAACCACGAGCTCCTTGAACCCGGTTCTCGGGTCCATCTCCCTGGAAAACTCCAGCGAAGAAGCCACGCCGATTACGATCTCGGCGGTGGTGTGGACCGTCGCCCGGACGAGATGCCCCCCGCAGAGCGCCCCCTTCTCGTCCGCGAGAGAAGCGTGCAGGTGGAGGCCCTCCGGGGAGAGGGTGCCGACAAGAGAGCATATCTCGAATCGGGCGTCCGGACCCGTCCGGAGCATCGGCTGCTCTTCCTCTTCTCGTCGGTGCTGGTGGTACTCCTGCAACTGGTCGTAGTGCGACCCCGCCGTGTAGTGCGACCCCGCCGTGAAGTTTTCTTGCGGGGCTGGAGGAGGTATCGCCGCCGCCGCCGCCGCCGCCGCTGAGGAGGAGCTTGGTGAGCAGCCCGCCAGGGGCTCCGCTCCGGCGAGGCGCAACGACACGTCGCGTACGCTCCCCACGCACGACACGATGAACCCGGCCTGGTTCGGTCGAACGAGAGAGCGAGATTAACACGCGTGAGGAAACTAGCACGCACGGGATGGGCTGATCACAGCAGGAGAGCGCACACCGACGGTGACATAAGATACCACACACACATTTGACTGATATTCAAAGCTCTATTGCTCCACGGCTGTAGAGAAAAGAGGCGGTGCCGAAAATGGCAGTGTGGGAACCGCCTCGTCGAGAGCTTTTCCGGAAATATCTCTCGTTTGGTTTATGCGTCCTCTTCGTCGCGGCGTACTCAAGCTTTCAAAAACGGTCCAGGGGGTGTATTATCTCATGTCAACTACGGTAGACCGGGCACCGTGACGCTCGAACGCGCCCTTACGTAAGCGGGACGGCACATACGTGTACGTGTGTACTCCTTGGTTTTGACATCCACATATTGTACTATAATAGTCGATCCGGGAGTTTCACGTTGCGGGTCGAGAGAGCAGCATCCCCCCGCGCGCAAAGCAGAGGTAAGCGTTGCGAGTTTTCTTCCCATCTCCCCCAACGGAGCGCCATTGTTCCAACACCAACAGAGTAAATTTATGCAATACGCTACCGCCGTCGCACAGCAGCAAAAGAGGACGGAAGCTCCTAATGCGAATTCCCCACACCCGTTCGAACTGCAATATGCTAGGCCCATCATTTTCGCAAACATTCAAGCGGATGCAATCGTTGCAGCCGAGCACCAGCAGCACGAAAAATCCAAGCGCCGCCGTCTCACCCGAATTTTTTTGTGTGACGTGAACTCTGCCAAGACCCCCTTTAGCTCCTCCCCTGGCGGCAGGCGGATGGCGTAGCAAACCATGGAAGACGCAGGGCATGGCGTAGGTGCCGGAGCTGGCGTAGGAGAGTCCTCCGTCAACAACGGCAGCTCCGACATCCTGCACGGCAGTAGGATGAACGGCAAGTCGGAACGAAGGCGAGGGCGTTCAGATCTACCGCTCAGACGTTGGGTGCCGTATCAACTGAACTTGAACTCTTGTCTCCGCTCTCATGTTTCCTTCATTTGAGACACAAAATCCCGCAATCCTGACGCTCCATTTGTGTATCCAATCGAACCTTACGGCAAACCACGACCGATTCAATTCCGAGACATGAAGAGGGCTTAAGATTCCTTGTGTACGTGGGTGCCCAACGATAGCAGCACCTTGGTGTAGCTCGTAGTTGATGCGTGTGCTGAGTGGGCGCGCAGACCACACTGCATCTCACATGCGGCGGAATTCGAATCTGCAGACACGACACACGACACGCAGCTGTCCAAAAAGCAGGTACTATCGAAATATCCCGAAAAACTCTACGAAGCCCCTTAGAGGCAGGCCTTCGTAAATCGCCGCTCTGTCACCACAATCAAATAAGATCAGCTACCCAAGCGGTGCGTGGGGATTCAACCTGCTCGGTGGCAGAAAGCTTGCGTGGAAAGTGCTGGGTTGAGCCACCAGACCGCAATATCACTGTGTGATTGGGAGAGAGAAGGCGGTGCTTGTGGGTTTTGGAGGGAACGCCATTGGGGACGAGGACACACCCACAGGTAACCATCAGTACAGCATAGCTCGGGAGATGGTCGCGTCCACGTGCAAACAAGCGCCTGTTCAGAGCATTGCCGACTGGTTGCCTGTTTGGTGTGCTGGATCGTGGCGAACTGTCGTTGACAAGCTCCACTGCTCCTCCTCTCTGTGTGGATATGTTGGGTGTCTTGACTTTTCTTGAGCGCGCTCCTTGTCAAAATTCGCAGGGGGGGATCGCGCTTGGTAGTGCTTCACTGAGCGATCCGGTCCGAGCGATCGATACAGCAGAGCGGATGGACTCATGATACCATGAGGCCAACCCAATACAGACACGTGCATGCGTACGCAAGGTTGGGGAGAGAGCAGTTTTGTATGTTTTTTTGAGACAACAGCAAATCATCCGACGACTTAATGCTGCCGCGCAGTGTCGGTCTGCGTGCACGCCGCGACGTTCATGTTTGAACTGAGGGTAGCACCGTCCGTACAGCAGTAGCACGGCTGTCCAAAGAGGGTGCCTGCAAAAGTAAATTGCCTAGAAACCGTTGAACGGTAGTTCAACATCAGAGGGGCTAGAGGTCAGTGGGTTGGTTTTCTCAGCGGAAGCGGTATTTGAAAAACAACATGTTTGTGCGTAACAAACAAAGACATGATGCGGATCGTGTCGTTCCCTCTGTGCGCTTGATTGCCCGCGTGGGCCCAGCCCGGCGGCCTTGTGTGGGCCTCGCCCTGTCTGTACTCCGCGCTCTCATGGTGCGCGCTTTCGATGCGTAGCACGCGATATCGCGGACTTTGTTGAGTGATGCAGATCGGCATTTTTCCCCACTCCGGCTAATAGCATTTCACCTAAACCACTACCCCCCCGGCGCCCCCTGACCCCCACCCGACCCTTACAGTCCGTTCACTCTCACGGGCCTCAGGTCGTGCCGACTATTCGTGTCGCTGGCCCCACCTGCCTGCTGTGTCTGCATGTGCGAGGGCTAGTACCCCCTCCTCACGGGAGCGAAGACAGCGTAGCACGTGCCGGTTTTGCCAAGCGCCAGCGCGCCAGGACTCGCGCGGGGTCCGTCCTACTCACAACACCGGGTCTCGCTACCGCCTTTGAAGGGAGTTCCAAACCATAAGGCGTCACCAGTGAGAGCGAACAACGTGGCGGCGGCGGGGGTTGGCGGGCGATAAGCATGTCTTACGAGGACGAAGGCGATGACGTGTTCGGCGATGCCGTGCCGGAGGGCGAAGCGGGCGTCGAGGAGGACGACTACGGCGATGGGGGCGGGGCAGCAGGGGGGGGGGGCGGCTACGACAACATGGACGAGGAGGAGGAGGAGGAGGACGAGAGAGGCTACGAGAACGGCGCAGCGGGAGGGGGCGGGGGCGAGGGTTTAGGGCTTGGCGAAGGGGAGGAGGAGGAGTACGATCCAGATGCCGCGTACGGGGCCGGAGGCCTCATGGATGATGAAGACGAGCTCGACCCGCTTGAGGAGGACATATCGCAGGAGGATGCATGGGTCGTGATCAGCGCGTACTTCAGCGAGAAGGGCCTGGTTCGCCAGCAACTCGATTCCTTCGATGAGGTGACCTACAGCAGAAGGGGCATGCGAGGAGTGTGTGTGTGGGGGGGGGGGGGCTAGGCGAGGAGGAGAGGGTACACAATTGTGTCTGTGCTGTACCCCTGCCACGCCGAAATGACGGAGATTCGCTCTCCCCCCGTCCCTTGTCCTGAGCACGTCGCCATGATCCAATCACACGATCCATCACATCGATCTCGCGATTCTGATTTTTTTGTTGAGGCTCCCTCTGTACCCACCGCTTTGTCCCGCTCGACATTCCTCTGCCCCGCCCGCCCCCGCCCCGTTCATCTTTTCCTTTTCGTAAACCGTTGCCACTGTTGGTATTCCGCGGCAACAGTTTCTACAAAGCACGATGCACGAGCTGGTGAGCAGCGCGGGGGAGATCAAGATCACGCCGGAGCTGCAGTACATGCCGGGGCAAGACACGGTCCGAAGAACGTTCCAGATCAACTTCGGACAGGTCTACCTGGCCAAGCCCACCGCACGAGAGAAGGACGGGTACGTCCATTTGTTTTCCTCCCTCTTGTAGAAGACTGCTTCGTGAAGATTTTTTAAGTCATTTTTTTCTTTTTGGGTCGGTGGTGGTTCGCTGGGCTGTTCGAGTTCGAACAAGACAGCTTGGTTCAACGTCCCAGTAGCTGGTAGGCAGCCTTTCAAGCTTTGCATCACTCCTTGATGACCCTACTGCTGTGCTCTCATGAGCTCTCATTCCTAAGGGCACCGTCTTGTTGGTATCTACAATGTACGGTGTATCGTATGTGCATACGTTGAGACTTTCTGTTGGTGTGCGCTTCAACGTGCCGAGGGGCTCGTCTGGCGGTGGCGATCTCTTACGCCTTTCTTTGGGGAAGCCTGGTCTTACTAGGAATTGAGAATCCCGGATGCCGGGTGTTTGTGCTCTCGAGTTCCCATGAAGGCTGCCTAAAGATATCAGAGTTGCGCAGACCACGACCGTTCGGCTGCTTGTTCGCGCGCCTTGGTGTGCGTTCGGCATTTTGGTAAGAGACCTGCTTTGGAAGCCATCTTAAAACTATGAGGCATCAATCGAGGTTTTATCCTAGCGTTTCGCTGTTCTTTTGTTAGAAAAGTGCCCCCCCGCGCGCGCTGCCGTTCGTCCTCAGGTGCAATCTCCTTACTGTACTCTACTCTATACCATATTCCCCCCATCTGGTGTCGCATATGCGAGACACCCAACACAGCGATGCCTTCTGTAGGATCACAACAAGAGCAATAAAGCAATTACCCTGCCGCCGCTCTGCCGCTTCCGCCGCTGTTGCCGTCGCTGCTGCTGCTGCTGCTGCTGCTGCTGCCGATGGTGCTACTGCTTCCACAGGTCGCTGACGAGCATGTTCCCGCACGAGGCGAGGCTTCGCAACCTCACGTACAACTCCCCCCTGTACTGCGACATCTCGTGCAAGACCTACGAGGCGGACGTGGGCGACCGCTCCCAGGAGGACGGGGAAGGGCTGGAGGCGGAGGAGGAGAGGGAGAACCCCAAGGAGTTCCTGGGCTGGGTGCCCATCATGCTGAGGAGCAGCTTCTGCGTGCTGGTGAGACGGGGGAGGGGGGGCGGGGGTACTATGTTTTGCATGCCTTGGCTGTTAGAGCATTGACCACGCGTCCTCGAGAGGCCGGAGCATGGGGTGGGGGGAGATATGTCGTTTGATGGCGTTTTGCGAGTGTGCATGGGGTTTCTGTTGTATGGAGGCCGGAGCCGCCGCTGTTTGGCTTGGGTTGTGTCTGTTTTTTTGCCATGGAGCTCGATATTTTGGGGAGACACATGTCCACTTGGGTGAAGGAGAGTCCCTTCCCAACCCGAACGAGGAAGAACGTTTAGCGAATAAGAGCTTACTACCATGCAGCTGCAGCTCAGCTGGCCGCAGCCAAGGCTGTGCTCCCGGGGAAAGCCGTGAAAGATTTCGTGTGCTACGACACGAGCTCAACCGTCGGTGCTCTGCCGACTCTTGGTGTTGGAAGGGTTGGGGCATCGGAAGGGCTCCTGCTGCTGCGAGCTGGTGCTGGCGGCGGGAAACGCTCTCATCTTGTAAAGTCAGCGCCTTGTTGTCTACGGCTGAAAGTCGTTTGTTTCGTTCATCTCAGTCTTGCATCCGTGTTTTATTGTTTTATTCCAACGCCAACGCCGGCGTTCTCGCCCCCCCCCCCCCAAACCCTGCCAAATAGAAAATTTACATTTATAGCTATAGAATCCTCCAAACTGGAACAAAATAAATCTCTTTGCAATAAATGAAATCAACGGTTGGAACAAAAACAATAGACACATTTATCCCAACAACCACAACAAAACCACTAATAACAATATAATAAAAAATTTCTTTTCACAAAAACACCATTAATAACAAAAACAACAAAAACAAAAAAAAAAAATGGCAAGGAGAAGTAATTTAAACAACCTTGGG